AAAAAAAAAAAAAAATATTTCGGAAATTTGGAAAACAAGAAAGAAGAATGTAAAAATACGCTCTACGCGTTACATGAATTTCGATTCGACTCGATTGTTTATCTCTCGTAGTCATTGGAAAGGAAAACAAAGGAAAGGCAACTTACACGATCACGAATTTGAAGAACGCCGCCGTATCAAACGCGTTTGGAACTGACCGGAGTTAAGCAGACGCGAACGTGTTTTACCCTTTCAGTTTCATGCCTTTCCAGTCGATCAGACTTCATAAATGTTTGTTTATAAACTTCGATACAAGCAGGAGTACGCTACGCTCGTTATCCGGGACTTTGAGTAAAATGAGATCTTCAGCTTCAATTGTTTTACGATTTAATACACGTATATCGTAACACATTTCGCAATGATGACGTGTTGAAAAGCGCGCCACCGCGGAACAAGATGAGAGGCACAAACACGTTCTTTCACCATCCGTACGTCAATTCCTTACTCTTACATATCCGTGTTACGGTTAGGTAGACCAATCTGCCGGTATTGAACCAACGGCTCGACTATCTTCAGTCACAAGTTTACAATATATTCGCTAACATCGACATTGACAAACGATGTTCTTCTTTCATTTGAACGACGATCGTACACGAAATGACGATGATAATCATAAACGATAATAATAATAATAAAATAATATAGTAATAATATAATATTATAATAGTGATCGTAATAATAATCGTAAGAAGAAAAAGAAGAAGAGCAAAGTTAATCGTGATAATAATAATGATAATAATAGTAGTAATAATAGCGGTAATAATGATGGCTGTGGTTTAATTTGATAACGACGGAGGCGTGACATCGTGACGATGATGTGCAGCACCGAATCTTGAGAAGCGGATCGACTTCCGGCACGTAGCAAGGTAACGGCCTCCCCTATTGCGGATCGGCTGCAGCTTTTCTTTATCCATGGTCCTTTCACGCACTGCCGCAACACATTCTCCAAAAAAACTTCATCTGCACTTCTGTTACACGCGCACTGTATTGTCCCCCCCAAGACTGACGATAACAGACAGTCACTTTTGTCTTCCAGTTTTCTTCTTCTTCCGTTTGAAGAAACAACAGCATCTGCAAATAAACCAAACACTAATAGGACTTAGAGTCGTCTTCTTTTGATCGTTTTATTCTATGACACCAACATGCAGTACGACAAGGCATTCCAAAGCGGCGACAAATCGAATTTGTTTTCTCAAACCAATTTGCTAGTGGCTAGAATATTGTCCCAGACCAACGATCGATACATGACTCACTTGTTAAATAAAACAACATAAAAGAAAACAAGGAGTAAGAACGATAATTCTAAGGTTATAGTCATACGGTGTTTGATTAAAATCGAAATCATGTGTCATCGATATTCTCTTCTTCTAATCTTTTTAATACATAAATTTTTGTATTACGTAACGATTTAAGTGTTTATTAAAATAAAAAAAAAAAAAGAAAAGAATATTTTAAACAAAATAATACCAATATGTATATAATTAGATTAGAATAACGATAATTAATAAATATTATATTTTTTCTTTATATTGTATAAAAGAAAATTCTTTAATGGCCACTTGTGCTGGGATAATAAATTTAATTCAGGGATCGATCTAGGATCATCAGTAGGCGTAGGAAGGCAAGAACTTCGGCGTAGGATTTTTCCGCATCCACGACAATGCTTTTTTGTCGGCAAACATTTCTTTCTGAAATAGGACAGATAGGGCGGTTAACATATATCACATGCAAAGGATACGAGATTAAAAGTTATACGATGAGACAAGGATGTGACTTTGCTAATTTTTATCTACAATATTAGTGTATCGTTTTTAACGATAGCCTTTTTACTTTAAATCTTTAATACGTCACATATGCATGCATTAGTCACATAAATATTATTGGTTCAATTATAATTTATTTCTTATTTATCAAGAATTCGCAATCTACTAGTTATATAAGAAAAAAAAAAAAAAAAAAAAAGGAAATGTATAACGAACGCAATACTAACTTCGTTTCGTCGACCATGTCTACTTCTTGAGGCGCAGTAATTGGCGTATTAGAATGTCCTGCTGTAGGATCATCATTGGCTAATTCTCCATTCGTCGAGGATACCACCTAAATACATAAAACATATTATCCGAAAGATTCTAAATAAATAGACGAAAATATATTTAATTATAAGGACATAAAAGCTAATATTCAATTGAAATTTCAAAAAATGAAGTTTCATGATTTACAACAGTACTATGAGTTTAAAATATAACACGTATATATAAAAAAAATATTGTACTGAACTAATTACATAAAATACATGATATCTGTTTATGTACACGTGTATAAACCTCTACTTTAGAGGACCAAGCCCATAATTTACGTGAAACAAGCGGCACTTTATATTCATAAGGCATTGTTAATACAAACGAAGTGAAACTCTAAAAACATGGTACGGCTAATCAACTTGGTTAACAAGTTAACTCTTCAAAAATCGCGAGTTATTTTGTCAAGAAACTTTGGACAAACGTTGGAATAAAGAATGAAGGGAAAAAAAAAAAAAAAAAAAAAAAAAAAAGAGTATAAGGCGCGATTATGGAAAATACAAATGAAATAGATTGTATTAGTGAAATAGTAATTGATTATAGAAGTGAATCGATCAACGAAACAAACGTTCGCATGCTGCAACAAACCAATTTGCAAATAGATTTCTAACTGACCATAATCCGGCGTTGCTTTGTCTAGAAATAGAGCGAACGGTTTACTTCGTGGACGCGTCTGCACGTCATCTTCTTGGGCTAAGAAAATGGAGAGGAGGGGGTGGGGAACAAATGGATAACGCGGACAGAGGCGCACTGTTTCTCTTCCTATTTAAACATAAACTTGCACTTAAACTTTATTCGACGAATTGAATGAAATTACAAACACAAAACTTTTTTTTCCTTTTTCATCATAGAATATAATGTTAAAAAAATAAAAATATTTTCTTGTTTTTTAAACATTGATCAAACATGGACAATTTACGATCGTATAATCGTAATATTAATGTCGA